GCCTGCCCCTTCACTGCTGAGGTGGCGGTGGGGGTCTCCGTGCCGTGCCGGCAGTCCCCACGACACCCTGCGCTTTAAAGGGCAGCTGTTGGCCCGGCTGTCCCAGTGTGTCCCCGTGCCACCAGCTCGGCTCCTGCCAGGGCAGGCAGTGCAGAGGAGGCTTTGCAAGGCGGCGAGCAAAGGGAGCGGGCTGCTGCTGGAGGGGTGCAAGGGGGGAATTCACTGCTGTTTCCTTGCCTAAAAAATGTGCTTGCCCCTTGCTGCATCCAGTGTGGGGAAGAGGCTGGACCAGGAGAGGGGACAGGGGACAAGGGGAGGCAGCTTTGCAGCCCAGAGCCATGGTTTCAGCCTGGCAGCAGCCGTCTGATGAGATAGGTGGCTGCATCTTCCACTTGCCTGAGCACACATCTTGCTGCAACTGGTGGGGCTGGGCTTGTCCCCCAGCTCCTGTCCCATCCCATTCCCAAGGGCTGGTGTGCTGCTGGGTGGCACATGGGTTCCTCTAACCCTCTTGGCAGCACTGCTGGCCCCCTGTGCCCAGTGCAGACAAAGCAAGGAAACTTGGTGATGCTTGACAGAGCAAATGGCTTGATGATGCTCTAAAAACAAGCTGGTGCTTGGAGGACCTTGTTTCTTGGTCTGTAGAGCTCTCAAGTTCACCTGCCTCTCCGAGGTGGGGCCACAGCTCTTCTCCAGGACAGGGTGGCTCCTAGAAGCAGCAAAATCCTGCTGCCGAGCAGCTGCTTCTGATGATATGAAGATGTGGTGGTTAGCCATGGTTAGTGAGCTCTGTCAAACCCTTCCTGCCGGAGGGAATGGCCCATGTGAGGGTCTTTCTCTCCTTACCAGTTCCCTTCATGATCACTCAGCAGGGGAGAGCTGGTGTGATCACATCTCCCATCGCAGGGCAAGGTGCAAGGTGTCAGGCAGAGCTTTGGAAGCCTGACTGCAGCATGGCTGCTCTTCTTCCTCTGTCCCTTTCACAGGGACCCAGCTGTCGGGCTGTGAGCGGCTCAGGGTTTTGGAAGAGCAGAGCCCTCAGACGGCTTCTTCCCTCCTCAGTCCAAATGGTCAGAGGAGCCAGATGTCTGGGGATGGCTTGTCTTTCTCCCACTTCTTCCAGACCCAGTGGCTGGGACAGGCCAAGCCTGCAAGGTTTGAGACTAGGCACAACCCTTCAAACCTGGGCTCAGCTACACAAAAGACCATTCTGGCCACACAGCATTATTCTGCAACATGAAGCTGATGGCCTGCATTGCAATGAGAGGACGTTGCTTTGGGCCATGGTGTCACGTGGATGTCACTGTGGATGTGATTGCTAGTTTTGGACAACAGTGCTGGCACAGAGGGGACAGGTCCCATGGGAGTCACAGCAACCCATCTGACAGCCACTGCTGGCCTGTCCTCTGCTGCTCTGAGGTCCCAGCTGCTTCTGGGAGTCACCTGAGAAGTGACACTGCACATAGAGCTGACCTGGTGTGACTTGCTGCAGCACAGGTGAGAGCCATCAGGAGATACGGTTTTAAGCTGTAGAAGGTGAGACTGGAGGATGGAGAGGCTTCATCAGACACAGTCTTGAATCTGATTTTCCAGCCGAAAGGGACAGCCTTGAATTTAATCTCTAGAATCACATGGATGGTGTGGTGGTAGAAGACCATTTGCAAGCCCAGGTTCCTAATGATGCTCCCTCTTGGTCTTCAAAGTAGCTTTGAGGGTCAACATTATGCTGGGAAGAGGGCACTTGCTGTCATAACAAAATAGCTAGTTTGGGTAAACAGCTTTCTGGCCTATCACTGAGGCTCAGCAAGGAGTGTCTGGTTTCAGAACAGGATCAGAGAGGCTGGTTTGTATCCCCAGTCCTCAGCCCTTTGCTGGTGGGCGGGGAGCAGTGAGTGAGGCTTCACCCTGAGTGCAGTCTACCAACCAACACTGAGCTCAAGAGGGTGTATGAGCTCCAGAAAATGAGTTTGCTTTTCTATCACCCCCTTTCCAACAGGTGGAGGTAAGACAGCCTGGCTAGATGGCCAGGAAGGTAGAGGAGGAGAAGACAAAGTAGAGGAAAGCTCATTCCCAACAGGTTGCTTGTGTTGGCCACCATCAGCGTTACCATTCCCACCTCTCATTCCCCTTCTCAGCCTAGGGGCACTTGCAGCATAACCCTCTCACAGGGGCACAGGGAGGCTGGGTGCTCTGGGCAAAGCTTTAATGGCCACCATGGGCAGCTGGCAAGTGCCAGAGCATTACCAGGTGGCATTCATCTCTTTCCATCCTGCTGGAAAAGCGAGGCAGGAACCTGAAAACCTGCCTTGGGTGGGTGGGTGAGAAGGTGGGAAGGGAACAGTCCCACCTGCTCAGAGCAGGGCTGTAAGTCAGGCCATGTGGTGTGGTTCATTGTCAGAAGAGTTGGGTCCCCATTTGGAGAATCCTGCTGGACTGACTGTCCCCATGAGAGCAGGAAGGTCCCTTGCACCCAGCCCTGCTGTTCCTGCCCAGAGCTATGCAGGTGGGCAGCAGGTAGCTGGTGTTGCCCTCCAGCCTGCCCGCACAGCCCTCCAGCATCAGGATGGTGCTAGCTCAGGCTCAGAGAGCTCAAAACTCACCTTCCTGAGGAAGTTTTTCCCTACTAAAAGCATGTACAAGACCAAAAATCCCCCTCAAGCCCAGCTCTGGGGTCTGTGGGAGGTCTTCTGGTCCCAGCAGCTGTAATACCTTCACTGCCCTGTGTAGTGTCACATCTCGTTGCATTGTAAACTAATGAAATCACTGCCCCATGTTGCATCCTGTCCCGTCCTAAATTAATGAGCTCACTGCCCCATGTTGCATCCTGTTACTGTATGTCCAGACTCGACGCGGTCACTGCTTTGTGTTGCATTCTGTTGCGTCTGAAATTTCTGCAGTTTTCTGCCCCGTCTCATGTCCTTGGGTAGCAGAAGCTGTCAGCCCTTCCTGCAGACAGCCCAGCTCCAACAGCTCCGTTTCCCATGAAGTTCCTTCTGAAATACCACAGCTCACTCTGCCCTTAAGGACATCTGTTGTTTCAGTGAAGGAGGGGTGAGGAATAACATAGGACCTAGCGAGGGAGGGGAGACCTGCACTGGCAGAGAGGGAAACTTAGTGGTGATGCTGGTGGGAGCCAGTTAGGATGTGAAAGGAGCTATGAGGAGGAATGGATATCAGCAGCTTTGACCCTGCAGCCCACCCATGCACCCTAACGGGTCACTCCATGGACTCTTCCAAGAGATTTGCACTGTGTGTGCGGCTTTTCCATCTGCAGGGCAGGCAGAGCCAGTGCCTCATTAAATACGCTGATAAAACACTTTGTTATTTGGCACTGAAGCTTCTGATTCCTGCACAGTGGTGTTCCCTGTCGCCTGCTCTGATCCCGTGGGAGCTGGAGGTGGAGAAAGGGCAGGAGGCCAGCATGCACATCCCCCTGTCTCCTGGCTAGATTAAAGATGGAGACAGGGAGAAGAGCACAGCAGGGAAGGAGAGTCCAGAAGTAGTTTGGGATTGCAAGCAGAGAAGTGGCTAGAGGGTCATCCAACCCAAAAGCCTTAAAGCCTAGTGGTAGACGTCAAGGATGGAGATAAATACGTGAATGCGTAAGGTCTTCTCTTTGGAGGAGACTTGTCCTGATTTAAAGCACTGGAGCTGTTCTCAGGACAGCTTCCCACATGGTGTGCCTGCCTTGAGGGGTCCAGTAGCAATAGCCATGCTGGCTTTAAACCAGCCAGCTTAGTACTGGTCTAGGTTCAAAGGTAACTGAGTGCCTCTGCACTAGTCAGCAGCATGGCCAGATGCACCCAGAGCAGCGCCAGAGTCTGTAAACGTCACTATGGCATTCACATCGGGCGCAGGGCTATACAGATGATGGAGCTGCCTTAGCTTTTCAGCGTCTAGCTCTTCCTGTGAGCTTGCTGGCCTGGTCACAAAGCTGCCAGAGTGGTCACTGACTCCTAGAGGAGTCCCTTTTGGACTAGCCAGGTCCTTGGGATGAGCAACACCAGAGATTGTGGCAGGTCAGGAGAGAAAGGTGCCAGCAGGAAGGAGGGGAGGGAGCTGGCACGGCACCACCAGCACCGCAGCCAGCGGCATGTCCCTACAGGAGCACCAGGTTGCCTCCCTGCACCTTTCGTTTGCCCCTCCATGAGGACCACGAAGGGTGTCTCAGGAGCTGCTGCCTCTCACGTGCCGCTCTCAGCCTTTCTCACTCTGTGTCTCTTCCTGTTCCATCTCTTCTCCTTGTTTTTCCAGAAAAGAAAGTCCAGTTCCAGCGTTCAGTTAATGGTGAGTGTCCTTCGTCTTCCTCAATGCCGATATTGCTGGGCCTCTCCACATGTTCCAACTTTCCCCGTTTTTGGAAGTTACCTCGGGGTAGGGAAGAAGGGACACCGGGGTTGGAGGGAACATCCTCAAAGCCGTATCACCCACAAACCCCATTAGCAGGGTTGGTGCAGGCACTTGCTGGCCACCAGCTAGTGGGAAGCCAGCCCTGGTTCTTGCTGATGGGTTCTCATGCCGTTTCTCCCAGTTCTCCTGACTCAGGTCTGCAGGCTGCATCGGTCCAAGGAGCCTTGGAGAAACACCTTCCATGCCTCTGCGGGGACTGTATGGTCATGGGACACCTTGCCAACCTACATCGGGGTATTATGGGTAATACATAAGCAAGGCTCTGCTGGGAAGAGCTAGCAGAGCCATTGCTCTAGCTCCGCTAGCAGAGTCGCCTTGATGGGGCTCCTGGAGAGAGACAGGGGGTCAGTACCCCCCTCCCCCCCAAATCTGTGTAGTGCTCAGCTGTTTCTTGAAAGAGCTGTGTCTCAGCCTTCGGTGGTCCATGTGGGTCTTGGAAGCACTCTGTTTTATTGTACATTTCTCTCCCTACTCTGCGGTCAGTGTGGTCTCTCTCACTCCTGCACAGTCCCCTCTTTCTCATCCCAGCTCCTCCTCGCTGTTTAATTTGTACATCTCTCTCTTTATCGTACAGTCAACATGGTGTCTTCCACCCCTGCACAGCCCCTCTCCCTGCCCCTCCGGCAACGCTTCTAGGAACCCACCAAAACCCCCGGACCTGCCCCCATCTCTGTCCCCACAGGTGTCGGTAGGAAAGGCAGCGCCGTTCCTACGAGACCCTCCACAGCCCAGCTCTTGTGCCCTTGGCTACAAGGAGTGGAGGTCAGGGAGGGCTCTGCCAGTGCTGCCCTAGAGCTGTGGTTGAGGACGGGTTGGACCTGCTGGCGTTTTCCTTGGTTTCTGTCCGTTGGCACAGTCAAGCGCTGTGGGGTCGGACTCGGGGGGCTGTCGATCACACAAGCTCCATCTGGCACCGGGCAAAGACCCCTCTCACCGTCCCGTCTCTCCTTTCTGTTCTTTGCTCAGGAATCGTCGGAGAGCACCAACACCACCATCGAGGATGAAGACACCAAAGGTACCAGCAGGGGCACGTGGGGAGGTGGGCAGGCTGTTTTGGAGGGGTGCCGTGGGGTTGTTAGTCTGGCCACCCCTAATGAGAGGCAAAAACCCACCACCATCGAGCTGCCTCAGGGCCCTTCAGAAGTTGCTTTAACTCCTTAGGTGGTTTCACTGCTAGGTCACTGCCACAAGCAGCTTGGGCACTGTTAGTGAGGAACGGGGGGGCTCCCAAAACCAGGGATGTTCCCTGAAAGCAGGCATGGAAATGGCAGAAATCTGCAGAGATAGTAGCCCAGCTGCTCCCTCCTCCAAAATAAATAGCCCTTTGGGAAAAGCCTCCAGAGGAAATCCCTGCCTCCCTCCCGCCTGCCTGCCAGAGCCAGCTTTCTAAGAATAACCCAGGGAATAATTTATCAGTGCTAATTTGTAAAGTCTCTCGACGAAGCAATCTCAGCACAAAGCAAGATGGACTTTGGCCTGATGTGAGAGTTAATGGGAGACTTGTCCTCCTGAGGAAGGGCTCCCTGAGAGCAGATGCAGAGGCAGGTGATGCTCAGCAAGTGATGGGGGTCCCTCTCCTCCTTTCTGAATGACTCTCGGGAATGTGATCCCTCTACTTTTATTAGCCACAACACAAAAAAAAAAAAAAAAAAAAAAAAAAAAAAAAA